TTTTTTAAATATATTACTCTTAATTACTATTTTAGGATTCTGATTATTAATTACTATAAAATCAGTTACTGTTATCAAAATGGAATTGGAGTTGTACAAAAATCATGCTTTACTAATATAGTAACTTATATATATACAAATAAAAAGAAAAATAATAAAATAAAATAAAGATAATAAAAAGAAAAATATGAAGACGACGAGAATTTAATAATTCATCCATTACATGTGCCTTCCCTTAAGGTTGAGCTTCAGCGAAATCAGCTAATTTGATTACTTTATTTAATTCCTGTTGGGCTGCCACTTGCGTTTTCATTTTCAGGGTCAAGAAATCTTCTTTCCACAGCCGTTGAAGGATATACGGGGTGATAAGGTGAGTAAAATAAAGATGAGATGGACCACAAGCAAAATATAATTGATAGACTCTTTTGGTGATAAAGAGAATATCTTGTGCTTTTTGAGGAACTAATCACCTTATTTAGCCTCTTTAGTCCAGGCTTTTTCTTCTAAGTGAGATCCAAGCAAACAATAGTTAAGTAATTGTGCTTTATGGGTAAGTTGAGTAGACGAAATTCAGGTACTGACATAAGACACTTTTCCTTCCCAAGTATCTTCATGGAGAACTATTAGTTGACAGTTGGTGATCCCACTATGATGCAAATCCTCAAGGAATTTGGGCATTTTGTGATGCAACTTTTGTCTATTTGTTTTAAACATAGGACTTTCAACATTTAACAACTGGGTCTGGTGGTTTACATTATAAGTGACAGTCATATAAGTAGAGATAATAAAAGTGCTGTTAAGATTGGCCTTCTCCATTTGAGATTTTAAGGTCACAAGGGTCTTTTCAATATGGGCTAGGATCTTAGAAGCAGACATTTTTATTTCTAGTTAATCCTTTGGTTGTTATAAGCAAGAGTGGAATAAGAAGTATATATAATGAAATGAGGAAGAGAACATTTAGAGATCTTTTATATTATTACACTTCAGTGATTATAAGTTGAGAGGATTCTACAATGTTCTGGTTGAGAATAGTACTGCGACAACTGGTTTCTATGAATTTTCTTCTTAATCACATGACTTTCTATTGTTCATAATTTGTACAACCTGTAGAGGGTCTTATATTTGGAGATTCTAATTTGGCACTGTGTAATATAGCTAGCTCAGATCAGTATAAAAAGATCTGATCACCAATTCCATACGATTCTAATTTGTTTCATCTTTCATAATACTCCTTATACTTATCTTGCCTTATTTTTATTTTTTGTGTAGCCTTGACCCATGCCTTGGTCAAATCACCATAAATCTTTTCAATCTGTCTTAATATTTGGCTCTCTAATTCTTCTTCAGTGCTAGGCTTAAACTGGGAAGTCACAAGAGTAGTCTTAATTAGAAGGATTGCATTTCGACTATACAAAAGAAAAAAAGGTTCATGCCTGGTAGTATAGTTCTTTTCATATGATAGACAAATAGGACCAGTTCGATATATTTATTCTACTCACTTCTGAACTGGTTAACATATTTATTCAAGACTCCACAGAGTGTCCAATTAAATCATTCAACCAACCCGTTAGTTTGTAGATAGTATGTCGTGGAGGTGCAATAGGTAAAATTCATTTTTTTACTTAGAGCAGTGATCAATTGTTGCGAAAGTGAGTACTCCAATCTAACAATAATTCTTTAGGGCTCCAATGTCATTAAAAAGGAATTTTATTACACTTTCATTGTCTGCTACTTCTAACGCTTTAGCCTCCGGCCACTTAATAAAATATTTAGTAGCTACTATGATATAAACAAAAGGGTCCAACAATATCTATTCCCACATGGTTGAAAGGTCTTCCTACCCGAATAGGGTATAAGGGCTTCCGAGTACTTGATTTCTTTTTCTTCTAACAGTAGTCACTTGATTAGATATAGGCTTTAATGTCTCTGCCCATTTGAGGCCAATAATATTGGATGGATATATATTAGTACGTGGTCTGAAAACTGAAATAACTAAAAAGTGGATTATCGTAGAGACTAAATAACACTGCTTGTATCTTGTCCCTTTGTAAAACTCTAAGAAGGCAGAATGGGTCATACTAGTTGGTCTTATACAGAAGTCCTTCGATTATTAAATAGTGCTGGGTCTGATGTTCTAGGTTTTTAATTTGTTTTTTAGTATATCCAGAGCGAACAATTGAGTTGTTTAGGTATTTAAGATAAGTATTATAAAGTTCTTCTTCTATATTCTAAGATTTTTCTTCTTTTATATATATATATATATATATATATATATATATATATACTAATGGAGGGTTTTTTTTTTTTTTTTTCTCCTTTGTGCTAGAGGATTGATAATAGTATGATTATAGCACGAATTTAGATAAGGATTATAAAGAGTTGCTAGGACACCGAAATCTGAACTGAATTAATAAATTTGTAGAATAAGAAAAATTTTCTAACTATTATTATTTCTTTTTTTTTTTTTTTTTTTTTTGTTTTTAACTTATTCACATTATCTAGATTCAAGTTAAACTATCAGCATTAGAATGATGCCTCCTAGGTCAATATACCGTGGTAAGGAAATACTCTATGAGAGTCATAACCCATAGGGTTAAGCGATTCTGAGGAAGTTTAATGGTGAACAGGGATTTGAGAGCAGAATGATCATTATATAAAATAAAACGGTTGCTATGAAGATAAGACTGAAAGTACCCAACCGCCCATACAACAGCTAAATACTCTTTTTCTGTACTGAATAATTTTCTCCACTGGGGTTAGCATACGACTAGCATAAGCAATGACCAGCTCTCTATAGGTTTTATCATATTGAGCTAGAATAGCTCCTAAGACAATCTCTGAAGCATCCGTAAAGAGAATGAAATTTTTAGAAAAGTTGAGGTAAGCTAAAATAAGGCCAAAATTAATTTTTCTTTTAAAATTTCAAAGGCTTTTTGCTGATCCTTCACCAAATGATAACTACCGTTTTTCTTCAATAGGTGATTTAAGGGCATCACAATATTAGTAAAGCCTTAGACAAATTTACAATAATAAGAGGCCAAACCTAGAAACCCACTAAGTTGCCTCAAGTTATGCAGAATAGAGAATTTTCTTACAGCTTTGATTTTTTTAGAGTCAGTGGTAATACCAGCTTTACTAACAATGTGCCATAGAAATTTCAGCTCCTACTTAGCAAAATGATATTTGGTGAGTTTTAATTTTAGCTATGCAAAGTTTAATCAG